TAAATATTTCCATGAAATTGTGTTTTGTTTCTGTAAACGGCCCCAGGGAAACTTACTTTGTAGACCAGCCTCGTATATCAAAACAATCTCCAGGCTTATAAAGAAATTCAATGCAAATGATAAGAAAATCGAAAACTCTGGATGAAGCATATAATTGAATGCATGGCACAGCTGATACGAGGTGCGATCGGAAAGTTTCAAGACTGCAAGGAAGTTGGGGTCGGTTCTTGCAAGATCTTGACAGGCTGACAAAGAAAGATTTCCAGGGATGCTTCCAGGCTTGGCAGCGGCGCTGGGATCGTTATATTCACTCCCAGGGGAACTACTTCGAGGGTGATGGATGAATTTAATACCTGAGATAAGTGTACGGGTTTTTATACGCGCAGTCTTGAAACTTTCCGATCGCACCTCGTATAAAGAAATGCAATGCAAATGATAAGAAAATCGAAAACTCTGGATGAAACATATAATTGAATGCATGGCACAGCTAATATATAGGAATTACTTATTTAACAACGCTGTATTGAAATAGCCTGTGCCTGAAAGTATGTAGCAACAAGTACAAATTCAATTATGATGGATATTGTCCACTGTCTGACGTATGCCTAATACACTTCAAGTTTCATGTGATTCGTTGTGATTACACTAACAATACGTAGTCATACCATAAAGTGGTCTGTATTATAGCCCTGTATGTATTAAGTGGTTGAAACGATGAACCCCTGTTACAGGAGGAGAGTGAATGGACATGGAATATGTTCACAACTCAATTTAAACTAATTACGATAATAAACTTCCTACAGTAAGGTGAGTACATTAGATTGCAATGTTCATTGTACGGCTGGAATACGATAGGTAAATGAGGATGACATAGAGGCTGTATTATGTTGATTACATACACAGAAATTACTGCTAAAGCTGTACACAGGGGTTGGTTGTAAATGGAGAAACATTGTAATAAAAGAATAGGCCTCTAAAATGTAGGGGCAGGCATTAAAATGAAACAAGGACATCAGTGGTTGCAAGCACCTGTGAGGGGTTGGGGATGAACATGGCAGGGGGCGACTTGATTGTTCATTGAAATCGGAGGTTAGGGGTGTAAGGTATACATCGGACAGAAGTGACATATGTCTCATTACGATTAACATGTATCCTACACGGATTACGATTGTAATAAGCCTTATGATTTAATGCAATTTATGATAACTACATTTTTAAAAAAGTAAAATTACACCTTGTTTTAATTTGTGTTAAAAATATACATAAAACTGAGTACTGTAGCCACGACAGCTCTGATTTCTAAAAATATTCACGAAAACTATCTTTGCAGTTTTATTAATATTTGGGAAAATATTAGAATTGTTATTAAATCAGACAATTATGCGAAGACCTTCATGAATTTTTGAGCACGAAAGTGACTGGGTGAGGAGGATTCCCCGCGTGAGAATCCTTCGTGATTACGTCACCACCAATCCAGAGAGGATCCAGACATCCCCCCCACGCAACTGTCTGTAACTCAGAAAGCTCTGATGTCACTGGCATTTTTCACAAATATTTATAAAATTCTGACAAAACCCATGAGGATTTTTAGGCACGTTCAAGTTTCATTATTCGTTCTGTGACAGTATGTGATAATAATAAATTCTTCTGAGTTCTACACCTTCCGTTCAAGTGGTTAATTGTTATCTGTATGAAAATATCCAGTAGCTATAAGCAGGCAGAACACGCGTAGACTCTCTAGTAGACGTTTCTTCAAATTACTGGCATATACCGACGACGTTTCGGAGATACAGACAGCAAGTTTGTCTGAAACCTTTCGCACTACGGACGAGTATACACGGCGCCAAAACCCAGAAGAGACTCATCTGAATAACACGTGTCGGAGAATCTACAGAAATATTGTAATTAAACTCCAGGATTATGGGAACATAAACGACTCGATTATTTTAACCATTATTCCGCCATGTTTAAATTTCTCGGAAGTCAATGGACCGGAATCATACCATAACGGCTGTTCCCTCCAGCGGAAACCCATCTCAAACTACATAGGGATACTCCTTGCAGATAAATTTTAGGCGATTCTCCGCTTACGCGTGGATTCCCTGCTAAAATTTGTGTGCATTTCACGTCAATGCGATGCGTACTGCATACCAAAGAACCATTCGTGTATTTTCATTTGGTCACCCGAGTTATTTCTGATAAAGTTTACGATTTATAAATCTTCTCATTGCGCTTACTTCCTTCCTCTCAGGTGAAAATGTCCTCAAACACGCTCAGTCTCAAGTTTCTTCCTTAACAAATAAGATTAGGCCTACATAATGCACATTTTTATACTTTGGTTTTTAGACAATAAATGTAATGTAAATATTTCCGAACAGAATTGTTACTGTTAAATTATCGACACTGAATATACATTTATAGACAGGAAAAAATTTCTCATATTTATTTTTAGACCATAGGCATAACAGAATTCATTTTTCTATGAAATACTATTTACTTGTGAGTAAATTCTGAACAATAATTTCACACAAAGATAGTTATGTTCTGAATGTTGCACCGTGTTGTCTGTTAGAAAATTACCGACGTTTCGGAGGTTCTTACCGCCTTCATCTTCAGGACGTGAGAACCTAAAATCCCACCTAATAATCACAGTACTCTACAAAAGAATCAGCAACATTCCCACAAAGACCACCTGTTCATTCTTATGGCAGAAGTCAGTAAAATTATAGCTATCTGGTTGACTATGCGCTTTAGCCCCATCTTGCTCATAAGGCGCACAGTGGGTTGCATATCGACTAGGGGACACAGAATGGCGGTAAATAGGTTTGAAATTAACGAAAAGTACCGTGCACAGAGAGAGGGGTGATATGATGGGAGGGGTGAATTGTATGGTTGGGGGGGAAGGGTGTTAGGTGAATCAAAAGCAGGAGGGGACCACCAAGAGGGGGTGAAGGGACGGGGAAGGAGGTGCCATTAGTGTCTCTACGCTTCTAGCGCAATGCGCAAGAATGTTCCAAGAGACACCTCAGTGCAGGAAGAGAATTCTTGTTGTTCATTCAATGGATTATATGTTGTGTGTTATATTAAAATGAATTTGTTACAGAATGAATAGTCCGAGTACTATTTAGTCGAAAAATAATGTTAGGAACCGTACCATTTAATTTAAGAAAAAATACATATTGCCTTTCTACACCCAGCAAACTTTCAAGTGTACCAGAAACCACCAGACGTTAAAAAATGTGGCAAAATCAATATAAGTTTGAATGAAAGTAACAAATTAAAAATATATCAATAATAAAGTCAAGAGAAAACAAGATTTTTTAGCAAATTCTTACTGTCATTAAAGTTAGAATCATTAGATTTTCCATCTTATATCTACAAACGCAAAAATACTTCTGTCTAATTTTGCCTATTGTTTTATGGGTGTAAAATTTGATTCGTCATGAGAGATAAATATTTTGTGTCTCAGAAGATCATTTGATTGTAAGAGAGAGGAAACAGCTGGAGGATGGACAAAATTGCGGGTTATCAAGGCGGTTAAGTTATCGATGTTTTAGGCTGTGAAGCTGCATGGGCTTGCAGATAGATACCAACGTGTCGGAGTTACATACAATTTTGTTTTTAGGTTTTCAGAGCTTCAAATAACTTAAAAGTACAATTTACAAAAAAAAAAAAAATTCCGTGCCCAGTCTCCATGTGTAAGAGAAAATAAATGGGGAAGGGAAAATCCGTAAGATTAAAAGCAAAGAAACGCCACAGACACAGATCAAGGAACTGGTTCACAGCGTCTTCTCCTCTTTAAGAGTTTATGGCCTTACATGAATACTCTCTCGTTCCTGTCCGTCTGGTCCAGATTCTATAGAACAGCATCTGTAGCCATAAAACTCTGCATCGACGAAAGTTACGGCCGAGACATCATTTCGCAACGGCCCCCTCGTTCTCCGGATCTCAGACGCCAAGCTCATCAAACATAAATAGTTAGAGAAGACGCCGTGGCTCTGTTGACAAAGGTGCTAGAAAATTCTTGAAAACGTATTCCTCTTTTGTTCCAAAACAGTCTGGAACGTAGCACAGTAATTTATAAACTCATTCGTAACATCAGTGACTTCTGCAGTCTTGGAGAAGCAATCGATTGTGATAAATCAGGCCAAAGAACGTAATCGAATCCCGATTATTTAGCTTCATTTACGGATGAAGTTTTACCAACATAATTGACCACAGATGTTGCTACGAGTTTGATGTTAGCCAATAAACATAGTAGGCTATAGTGACAATCTAGAACATGTTTACATAAAATCATATTTTTGATAACAGCATTATATATGCATTTCAATTCCGACGACGTAATACTGATGATAAGAAAATAGCATGGCCTATCATCTAATTTAATAAAGTACTGAGGATTTTGTCTAATTATTACACTGGGATCTGATGCGAAATACATAACGACGCAAAACTATTATTTATTTATTCCCATTTAACCCTAAGTTATAGGCCTATCTTATTTATTTAAAACAATAATATTAAATTACATAAGACACAATTAAAATTAATTCTGATTTCTACCTGACATAATTTTGTTTGCGCTTCCTAAGAACATTTGAGAATAATTTTTAAAAATGATATAGTCATCTCGTTTCGGACTCTCAAAGGTCATTCATTCATCGTAGTAAAATTCTTAGATGTTTAGTTAACGTACAGAATAAATAAAACACGCTAAATATTTCGACGTGAAGTCACTTATTTTACTCTTGCTGGAATGTCATAATGAAGGAAATATACAGAGTAACATCTCCAATTATTTTATGATGGCTGAGGCTGTGGAAGGTCAGGGTTTTTTGGACTATGCAGTTGTGTTTCGAATATTCCCTCTCCATTTATACAGAACATATCATCAGAAAAGGGAGGAGAAACAGGGCTAGAAATAAAAAAAAAAATAAAGTGTGTGGGGGGGGGTGTTTCTGAGAAGAGAGACAGAAGTTTTCCGAAGAATGCCTGGAATGGACGTAAACACAGCTGCATACTTCGCGAGGAATAAACACAGACATGGCACTGTAAATCTGTATGTGTAATTTTGCGGGTTATACTTACGAGACGATTTAAAGTAATTTATGTGGTTAGAAGTGATCATCATCTCGGCCAGTCTGTCTGTCTGTGACCGCGAATGACATTAACCGTGAACCAACGGGTGCTTTGGGAACGGTAAATACACCAACAGAAATGATGATGAAGAGGGAGACAGAGAGGGAACAGAGGGGGGAGAGCAAATTGGTGTTACAGTACTTTTCATCACCAGCAGACACATACTCACAAACGTACTACATTCAGTGACATTTCAACTGTGGTGACGGCGCGGTGGAAGTATCCAAGTGGCTCTGGTTACAACAAAATTCAGAAATTGAATGCATTCATGTCTGTGATATTTCTGGTCATGCTTAAATGGACAACTGTGAAATCTGTCTATTTCGAAACGTATTACGTTCAGTGACATTTAAATTTTAGTGACGGTGGAATTATCCAAGTGGCACTGACTACAGCTAAGATGCACGAAATATACGAATTAAATTATTTCTTGTCTGTGTTATTTCTGATTAAACTTAAGTGCAAACAACTGTAAAATATAATGATTTTAGTACATTTCTATTAATATATTTTGTTGTGTTCAAGTGCTGGTATCTGGGAAGAAAGGAGAAACTTGGAGAAATGCGATAATGCTGGAGGAAATTTTGTTTTGTTAAGTTTGTACTTGTGGTTGTGTACATTATACAATACTGCTTTTTAACAAGTTTTATTACTGTCACGCTGCTAACTGGACGAAACTTTATGCAATATAATAGTTAAAGTTTGTTGACAAAGAGATCCATTCTCTAAATACGTGTTTACTCATATACGTGAATTGCATTAATAATTTCTATGTATTTCAAAACTGTTTTCGGTGATAAACATAACTTAAAATACCCCCTTTCAAAACATTTGAAGAATAGAAATATGTAATTGTAAGCTAGTAGTTTTGGAATACTGGCAATTGATTTTCATTCAGGAATTAAACTCGTACATGACATTAGTTTCAATGAGGCGTTTGCAGTGTTACTCAGACATTCTACGCGAATTCGGAGATATTACACGATCCCTGTCTTTTCAAAACATTTCAATTCACAATTAACTGTCCCTTAAATAAACAACACGAGGCCTGTAGGATTAGGGAACGTAAATTTAAACAATTTCAGTTTTTATAGCCGCTCACTGCACTGTGTTAATAATAAAATGCAAGTTTTATCTAACTTTTTACTTAAATACAATGTTTTGTTAACAAATTCCTCTCATAGGTTTATATCAGATTTCCGCAACATTTTTTCCTCTCATAGGTTTATATCAGATTTCCGTAAGATTTTTCCATCCCTGGTACACCATTAACTTGCCAAAGACACACCACAAAATTTTACCACACAAAGGGAGGAGTTACAAACCATACATGACTATAAATAATTCTCTAAATAAAAATCTGTGTTTTATAGAAATACGGCCATATGAAAACAAAACGTGTTGAATAAAAGTATCGATGTTGAGCCAGTGTGGGTTTATTACGAATTACAATTACCAAGGGTAAGATATTGTCTTTTTCTAACTATAACGTGCTAATACACAATTTCATATACAAATTTTTGACACACTGATTGAGGAACACTTGTGTGTACATAATGTACGATTATTATTTAACACTTTTAAGAGTCTACTACAAAACCACTCTAATTCCTCCTTGCATGCATGGTCACAGATTTTATATTTTGTACTTTCTTGTAGTGATACGCAGGATGTATTAAGTTTATAGGCCTATATTTATTACTACAAATACGTACTGGACTACAGTTTTCTTATATAATTTGTTTTCAGTTATATATATTTGTATTTTAATTTAATGTTTCCTTTTAAATACGTGTATTTGATAGGCGAGCACAGTTCTATACCAATATTCAATTCAATTAATTCAATTCAATTAATTTATTTACGTGTTTGCCAACAGCAAGAAGCCAATAACAGGCAAACACTGATAATATATACAATAATAGTGAAATAATAATGGATAATATTACACAAACGGATTAACTAAACTTATACATGTACAGTATTAAATATAACTGCCAAGTACAGGCAAACCCAAAATAGAAACAATATTAACACAGAGCAAAAAATGAAGAAATATCAATAAAAACAAATAATCCATATAGGGAACACTAATATAATTGTAAAACTTTAAAGAATATAAAAAATACAGATAACGAAGCTAGATAATCTACAAGACAATCTATCTAGATCATTTCCCTTGTTGAGAACGTGTCAATGAATATAAGTGTATTGCACAATAATTATATTTAGACTGCCTAAAAATCACAGACATCGAAGTGTAGTTATTTTCTAATTACAGAAGAACCCACTACAGGTCTGTGGTAACAAAATACACCAAGACAGTGACCATCTTACACTTAATAAACAATGACAAAGATCGGCAGAAATCTCACTGTTTGTTTCAGTTGTTAAGGACAATTACAAACATGTCATTGGAGTAATAGCTTAGTCTCACGTTCCTACAACAGAATCAATAAACTCACAGTAAACACAGCAGCTATCATAACTAACAGAGTGAATGCATCAATTCTTTATGATGTACTATGCCATCACGAATTTTATTATGTATACAGGAATCTAACTGGCAGTGTATTCATTATTATGTTAGGAGTGAAAATAAATCAAGTCGTGTTTACATTTGCCATAAAGTACTTGATCGCTTGTTTTACTGGAAAATGATTGCTAGAATAAAGCCATCAAAGTGTAATAACGTTTGATGTTTTCGTGAGTACTCGTACATTTCTGGGTAATGGATCTGAGTGGTTCATTGATAACAACCACTTTGTTTAAATTGGGCATGAAATCTTTGTCAAGCACTGAATTATTGCTGAGATGTCAATCTGATATGTTAAAAGATGGATACGCTATGGACAAAGGAACTGAGACAGTGTGCTTGGTTTCATTCTGCAGCAGGTAGGTTGATCCTATTGTTTGCACTAAGATCGAATATAAAATTCACCCACGAAAGAGCCAACTGTCTTCAAATTGGGCAATAATTATTTCTAACAAACTAAATAAAGATGTCTTCTGAAATGTTTCGCAGTGTCTAGAAAGAGTTTACCGACGTTTTGAAGTCTTTTGTTGCCTTCATCAAGGGTGATTGCTCATCGATCTGCTGAGGTAGCAAATACCTCTGAAACGTCGATAACTTCTACCAGAGATCATGGCGCAACTTTACAGAAAACAACCAAATTTATATTAGTCGCCGTGATATCCTAAAATACCACCGAATATAGTTGTTTCATTGTAGACCGGTGAGATATCAGATACAGATTACAAGTTAACGTAAACATCAGATATCATACGATGGTCCTGTACTTAGTAACCATCGCCATTACAATCATCTACAAAGTTCTTGTGATAGCGTATGAGTTAATATCACGTATTCCTATTATGAAAAATTAATTATTTCTTAAATAGAAAGAATGTGACTTTAACTTACATACTCTTATAACAGCTCTGGACCAATGATGTGATGACAATCGAAAGGTTATTTTTTCAAACAGGACCCCTAAAGTGTACTGGAACTTATAATTTATATTTTATACTTAATAAAGGGATATTTCTCTCTATTTTAACACTGTAATCGAAGTAACTAATATTTCGTATTAATATTACCAGAGCACAATTAGGCCTACCAGTTTCCATTCTAAAATAGCAGCCCCTCCTAGCATAAGGTTAATTTTTGAAGATGCCTGGATTTAGAATACCACCACTTATGCTGAATATTTAATGAAATAATATGTTCAAATTTGTGTAAAGATGTCTGAATGAACATAATGCACGTACAAGTACTAACGTGTAAGAACCAAAAAGTCCTAAGACTTGAGGCTTTCGAGACGACAAAATGCAATTATGTACATCCCTTCAATAACTTAAAGTGGCAATTCACATGTGGATTCTTTTATTTAGATTACGTTTTATTTGGAATAATTTCACTTATTGTATTGAGTGGGAGAAAAACTTTGATATTTTAAAATAATATGAACAGAAATGTAAACTGATTTTTAGCGCTGTGATAACAGGAGCGTAATTTTCATATGACATTCAAATTTTACGGGGGTTAATAGTATTCGGTTGGCCCATGTAAGAATCAAACTTCCTCCCTGATGGTCTATCACATGAGTAAGTTTTATTTTTAATACAGTTATAGATGGTGTACTTGAACTGTTAATTATTCGACGAAGTTGTCTGTATAAACGGTGGATACAAACATTATACGGTACTGTATCGGACATGATAATAATGCTTAATGGTGCATCTGTGATGGCACAGATGTGTGCGGAAATTAGTTATTTGTGGATAGTTTTTTTAATGGGATTTCCTTGTAAAATTGCACAGGGAATATTTGCTTTGAGATTTATGTACAATGCAAGGCTGGCGGTAAACAGTGGGCGCTGTATCGGGTTTTAAAGAAACTTCCAGAAAGGCGATGTCAAGACTTATCATCAGATATTTGTGGTCACATTGTCATGGCGATCGAATTGTGTATTTCTTTAATAAAAACGTTGATATTAGTTATATGTAGCCAAATCTATGTTTTAAAATAAATTCCATTTTGTAGTTTCTTGGAGATGTCTTTAACGCGGCATTTGCCCGCCATTTTAGATAGGGCTAAAATGAACAAAAATTTAAAAGACAATTGTAATCACAGTTAAAGCTTATTTTACATTAAATGCAACAAGCGACCCATCGTTAGGGTTACAACTATTATATTACCACTGTTACACAAAGATTTAACCGAATGAAACAGTAATTTGACATCTTTTCATTGTCTTCTGTAATCGGCAGATTGAGGCGACTACAGTTTCTATTCTAGTCCGTTTATTATTTTAACTTTACTAATTTACTGGTGCGTATGGCAGAAGAATTAATTAGGGGTACACGGAGCGAGTCTGACTGTAGACTAAGTGAGGAATAATACCAGTGCATCAGTAAAATGAAGACAAAGTAAAACCTTACAGACATTAGATACGAAATGGCAGCTTCTCAAACAATTCTGATTAAGAAGATTTCTGTCTTCTGGGTTGTTGCGCTGTGTAGTCTGGTCGATGTTAACCAACGTTTCAGAGGTCATACTGCCTCCATCATCAGGGCGATGAGTATGAAGATTTCTGTCTTCTGGGTTGTTGCGCTGTGTAGTCTGGTCGATGTTAACCAACGTTTCAGAGGTCATACTGCCTCC